CTTCAGATCGAACTGAGAAGTGAAGGTGCGAGGCAGCGCACGACGAAGGCGACGAGCAGCTAGGTTTCCGAATGAAAGAACTGGCGGATTGCTACTAGGCCTGCATGATTTGAGATGGTAGATCCTGTTGGACGATGTGGGGATTGTGATCCTGTTGTTTGATGATTTTCCTTGTTTGTTTTGTTTTGCTATAAGTGTGTTGTTGATTGTATGTGCTTGCTTGCTTGCTTGCGTGCTTGCTTGCTTGGGTGGTTGGTTGGTTGGTTGGTTGGTTGGTTGTGGCTGTTTTGTTTTCTTGTGCCGGGGGTTCTTCTTGGGTTGTTGAGACAAAGACCACTGGCCCGGAACGTTGGTGGACAGAAGGTCTGACGTGAAGTCTTGAGCGTGTGCATGCAGGTCCTGCTCTTTGTGCTTTTTGCAGCTCAGTCGCAATTTTTGGGAAGGGCGTGAACATGAAGAGCTGGTGTTTTTTCGGCCGAGCTGTTTGGGGGAACTCAAGTTCGTTCAGCTGGAGAGAGCCAGTGGGCCCAAACCTGAAGGCCTTTGTGGCGAATAGCTTCACATGACCCAGAAATCCACAGGATTATTTCCTTGTTTTTGTGGGCGTTTGTAGGTTTCCCCTCCCAAGCCATCCAGCATATCACCAGAGCCACGGGGATCATGTCAACACGAGAGAGGCCGCTGATGCTTCAGGGCAGCTGTATGCATCCACAAGCACAGCAACTATGCATATAACCCTAGGGATCCACATACCTTCTCAGAAGGTACTTGGGCCCTCCAAGCCTACTTAAATAGTCTCCAATCACCTTCTGAGAAGGTACTTGGATCCCTAGGGTAAGTGGATAGAGTACATGTTTCGTTCCGTTGCCCTTGTTTGAGCGAGTCCCTATCTTTGAGCGAGTACTATGCATGGGCCCGATGTATTGGTCAACATGAGTTCCGTTCCGCCCATGGAAGCCTGAATTCATTGTTTTGGTTTTGAAACCTTTAGAGTGCCTGTGTCAAACAAGTTGAGCCGAGCAACATGTCCACTATTCGACCCACCTAAGCTGCTGTTCGGAGATGCTCCCAAAATGGTGGTTTCTTTTTTGAGCAGTTGCCTATCCAGAAGTAAACATCCCTGGGTTTTCGTGTGCGATGCGCCACCTATTTATTCACCGGTCCATCTTCGGGTTGGTCGAACCGTGATGCATCCGCGACCAGGACATCCACCCAAAGACCCGACTTTCTAAGACGACCGGCCATGGGCATGTGGACCATGAACATGGCCATCTCTTCCAAGAGAGGTTTATAGGACCTTACTGGGGTACCTATGCATGGGATAGTCTAGTTCAGCTCCTTCAACCTCTGTTGGTTCTTCATGTTCGGTGGGAACATCCAGCGTTCCGGTTCTTTGGCCCGTTGAAAGACCCACGTCGGACCCACGGGAGATCCGTGGCATCGTTCACTCCTTCGACTCCTTCGACCATCCCACGGTCCTGCAGGTCTTAGTTCTGTGTTGCCTGATCCCCTTGCTGGCACGGTTCCTCACACAGCACCTTGGTGCAAGGTGGGAAGATGGCCATGGCCATGGTCTCATGGTTGGTCGTGGACTCTGGACAGATTCAAAAGTGAACATCGTTCAAAACCTAGGTGTTCATATTTGGTGCATAAGCACCTCCTTACGACCCTTCGCTCCAAACATAGGTTTTGAACAACAAACCAAGTGAATTGCTGGAAGAATGAAGCAGTCGAACAGCCGAACAGCCATTTTGGGGAGTCTCAACCACCAGCTTGGCTGGGGAAAAACGTTTTGTCGGTGGACCGTGCAGTTGTGACGTGCGGATTGGAAGATTTGAGTTTGCCTCTCAAAAACAAGAAGAAACACAGCACAGCTTGGATCGGCTTGAGCAAGTAATGTGCATCCGAAAGTCAAATGACAGACATCTGGAAATTACCATGGTAATGGTCATGTCGAGTTCCTCAGAAAGGGATGTATACTACGTCTCCAACCCCTCAAAAGGAAGTATCACTTCGACTGGCCCCCTTCCGATGATGAAGAGGCCAACCCAGCTACCCAACCCAACCCTGCAGCCTGTGCAACTTCCTGTGCCCTAGGATGCCACTGCACCGTTGATCGAATAGTTACCGAACAAGGATTTCAGACGACAGTCACCCAGGTCAACCATCCCCAAACACGACCGCCATCTGGAACTGGCATATATACCGAGAAACGGCCAGGGGTGGTTGATTGAAAAGGGGTCGGTCAATGTATAGATACATGTTGCCATATTGCCATGGGATAGATATATACCTGGAGCTTCAAAGGGGTGTCCAATGGAGGTCCCTTAGTGGTGTAGGGGCTTCCATTGGTGACCCCTTTGAAGGTGCTGGTAATGGTATATCGGAAGGGGAACGTGTGTAGGGATGTGAGACGACTTCACTACCGACATGACGTACGGCTTTGGTGACGCACAGCTCTGCTAGACTGGTGGTTAGATATGGTTAGATCGAGTGTTTGACTCAGGTTGACAAGAAGTCACCGGCATCAAAACGTTAAGGAGATTTGCTTGGAAGCTTCATTTGCACCCTATGATTCTTGGTGGAACTGCATTTGAGGGGGGTACTGAGCAAGAAACGTCGTTGTGGCCAATGAGCAAGTACCGGTGACACCCCGGCGACAGGCTGCTGGAACAATACGAAAGCAACATCGACCACCCTTGATCAAGAAGCCAGGCCAGAAGTGTATATTCAACACTCTATATATCTCTATATACCCTAAGGATCAGCAGCGGTTTTGAGGGTACAAACCCTTGTTATAGATGGTTCGACCCCTTCTAAGGAGGGTCCAAGGATCCTTAGGACATTCACTCATTTGTGTTCATTCTTAGAACATCACCCAACTTTTGCCACCCTCAGAAAGACCAGCCGTTGACCAGCCGCCCAACACCGTTCGCGGCACCGTTCCACTTCGTTTGGCTCGAGGAGTTGGTCCTCCAATTCGGTTCGAGGGCCTGGCAGAGACGAGAATGGCGGTCAGCGCGGAAGCAGTTGAGGGAGGAGAACATGAGATGGAGTCGAAGCGGAGGGGATTGTTGTAGATGGAACAATGTTGAGAGGATCTACAAAGGATATGATTTTAAGAAGGTATGGTCATTTTTAGAAGGAATACGCATAATCATAATTATAACAGATGCCATAGGATATAGGGTATACCACCTTATAAGGATAGTGGGTCGTTTGATAAGATAAACGATCAGAAGCTGCAGTTCACCAAATGAATGGTCTGTGGGTTTTGGAAAGTGTGTTCTTCGAAGTGTGTCAACCTCACCATCTTGGCCGGGTAGCTACGAGCACAGATCAAGGAGCTGAAGAGCCGGCTTTGAAAAACATCCAAACATTTGGTTAGTGTTGGGGTGTCCGTTCTTACCTGTTACAGTCAGTAAGCAAGCTGTTCACTATTTTTGAACAAGGCCTGCAACCTAACCATCATCATCCACTGGGCCCAGGGAATAGGATACACGCAAGGTTAGTGCATCGTTCCCAAGTGTTCAAGGATCAATCTCACTCGCATGCGGTTTTCAACCAGCCCAGCCGGCACCGTTCTCGACGGTGCGAATCACCCGAACCTCCGAGGCTCCCAGAGCTCCGAGGGCGCTACAAGGGTCGCGGCCCTGGGACCGGGGGTCAAAGACCTCGGCTGAGTCCTCACACGTCGTGGTGATTGATGTGGAATGGTGATTTTCGGCTTCAAGGGGGTCAGGTTAGGGCGGAGGTTCCAAAGAGCAAGTTTCACCCGTAGCACCCAGGTTTCAGAGGGTGGTTGAAAGCAACATGTCACTCCCTCATGCGACGAGTGACATGTTCCAAGTTTGCGACGTGGACCGTCCACAGGGCTACCGTCCCATTGGTGGGGTTTGAGGCCTCTAGGCCTCCAGTCGTACCGAACTCGTTTCGCAGGTGGGACTGGCTTTGGGGTGGGTGCCATTATTGTCAGGTCCAGTCATACCGAACCGGTGCCAGGCGGTAACCTCCTGGAGGTGGCCCCACTCTTATGGAGGTGTGTCCTTCCGTGAAAACGTGGCAAGTTGAGTCAAATTTTAAATAGAAAGGTTCTTTGTGCAGCAGGTTGTTTGATTCTGTGAAGCACGCGTTTTGCTGGTTTTCAAGGTGTTGTGCAGTTGCTTGCTTCTGTTCTGTTGTTTGTACGTGGATGTACCTGTGTTTTTTTTTGTGTTGCTTGGGTCGCGTCGTTCAGTTTTTCGCCCGAACGGTTTTGTCTTCGCCCAGAAAGGTCTCCTTTCTGTAATAAGTTCAAAGTTTTGGACCTGGAGTCTGTCAGTTTGGTGGTTCTGGTTTTTCCATGTTTCCCTAAACCTCCAGTCGTACTTCCGAAGATATGACTGGACCCGACTGGCTGGCACCCGGGCCCCGGTCGTCCCACCTTCACCGAAACGAGTTTGTACGACTGGAGGCCTAGCTTGGGTATCTCATATTGGTTTCTCTGCGGATCCCAGCGAACGAAGCACAAACCCAGCGCCGGCGCCCTTCGAAACTCGCTTTTTTTCGACGACGCATCGTCCTCCACGGAGGGTTCCGTGGTGCGCGGTGCACCGGGAAGGGACGTTGGAATGGAGTACATTTTGGAGCACAAGAAGCCTAGGGCTCCAGTCGTACCTGCTGAGAGGGTGGGACTGGGGTGATCCTGGGGTGGGTGCCAGGAGGGTCCAAGTACCTTCTGAGAAGGCACGACTGGAGCCCTAGGGGAAGTCAAGCAACTCTTCGTTTCGCAACTCTCTGTTTCACTAGACATTGTGTGTTTTCCTGCATCTACCGTGCCATGTTGATCAACTCCAGCCCTTGTGCCATGTGTTGATCAACGCTTGAATGTCGGTCTGCGCCCGGGCGGTCCCAGACAGGGAGCGTCTGGGGTTTGGTCTTGCCATTTTTCAATTAGTCGACTGGACTTGCGGGGTACATCGAACGATTCCAGTCCCATGCGCTGGTTGGGGTGAGGATGATGCAACCATCCGCCACCTTCATTCCGCCACGGCATTCCGCGGGCGGAATAACCGGATCTGCTTGACATTCGGCTCGATGCTCGATATAGTTATGCGATGATATTGCGCGTCTCATGTTCCAACGAGTGGGGATGGCTATCGGGTGGCTGCTGCTTGGAGTTTTACCCTTCATTGCAGCAGGCCGGACACCGACTGAGTCAGACACTTGAAGGGGCGGTGTTTTTGGACAAACATGTCTACAGTTCTTACCTGTAACAGGACCAGTAAACAAGCTGTTCACATCCCTGTTCGAATATCATGAACAGAATCCACGAGCACGAGCTCTGTATAAAATCATGATTTGTACAACAGGGGTGTTTGCAAAAACGAATGTGGTAAAGCAAAAAGAATGTATAAATCAGGAGCTGACTGCCCCCTAGGAGCAATTTGTACAAGACATACTTGTGATTGGCAGTGCTTGAGCTTTGATTGGTTGGCGATTTTGTACATTTCCCAAGCATCAAATTTGTCAAGATCTATTCAAGCTTCAATTCTGTACAAGGGCCCCAAGTGGGGCCGCGATCCCATTTTGTACTAACATCACTCTCTAAGAAAATCGGGCCGTACATCTGATTCTGTACAGTCAAATTTGGATTCTATACAATGAAATCTGTATAAAATTGGTTCACGACCCCACTTTGGCAATTTCACAGAGGATCTGTTCACTATTTTTGAACAAAGCCTGCAAGCTAACCATCATCATCCACTGCTACAGGTATTAGGATAGATTGACCCAACCTATTATACAATCACGGCATTTTGTTTTCACAAAGACCCTTCCCCTTGATGGTCGGCTGTGCAAACATTGGGAAGCTTGGAAACCATCTAGGGATAAGGCTTCGCAGTTACTGCACCACAAAATATCCAGGTGACCTTTTTTTTCTGATATATCATGATATTTCATGTCTATATCATATATCATGTATCAGGTCATTGATTGGCTCCATGATGGAAATATTGCAAACAACTTTTCAATTGCTGCAGATACACCTCACTCGTCCGCACACATTTGATGCGTTCGGAGCCTCCAGGCTCGCCGCTTTGCCTGGCTGATGGCATCCCGGAAGAGGAACGGGCGTTTCTGAAGGATAGCTACTTGGGAGAAGGAACGCCAGCTGCAAACGGATCGATATCCAAACAAACAGAGTCTTTGCAGCTGGGAATGTGTTAATCGTCTATGGCATGGGCATCGTTTCTGCACATGTGACGTGTGTTTTGGATCATGCACGCCGTCTTGATGACATGACATGTTGATGGCCCCAAGGTCAAGGCAATGACATGCCTGTGGGCATTTTGGAGCTCAACTGGCCCTCAGCAGGAGCGATCTCGTGAAGAAATGATTGACACTGAAACCCCGACCGAAGGCGGACTGGAATGGGACTGCCGTCCCAGGTGCGTGGTACTGCAGCGCTCCGTCTTTTTCAGGGTCAACTGATAATGGTAGATATCTATTCTTGTCCCATGGATTGTTGAGGTTCTTGTAGACAGACTGTAGACTGCAGGCTGTTGGTGAATCAAACCCCTCACGTGCACATGTAAAACCATTCTGGGTACCAGGGGACTTGATGAAACCGTCTACAGAAAAGACCCTCAATCGAATGGTTTGTCGACTCACTGGATGGTCCGAAAATTCAGACAGAGAAATGACTGTAGGCATATGCATGATACTGGAAGCACACTCACTCCCTGAGACAAACATGGAGATGAACAACCATGCATGTTTGTAGAGAAAACATGTCTTTCCAGGAGGCCGTTGTCCACTTCCATGATTGTTGGAGGGTACTTCATTCCCGGGGCCAGGTATTTGACAGCGGCAGCTGGCATGATACGGCTAGCCGAAGTCTCAGTCAAAACCAGTGTTTTGGGATGGGACAAGGCATGAAGTAAGATTAAGAATGAATGAATCTAGAATGAATCATGAGGGCTGAAACCGTCAACCCACAACCATCTATAGAAGCCCTAGGGCTCCAGTCGTGCCTTCTCAGGTTCGAATAGCACCCGGGCCCCCAGTCCCACTGGAGCTCCGAACTCCTGAACGTCTCCGAACGTTGGTCGACAGGACTCCTGGCAGAGTTGGCAAAGCTGCTGATCAAGGACGAGCCGGGGCCGTGAGTCAGTTTCAGCGGAGTGGGTGTGCCTCAGCGGTGGGAGGTGCACTTCGAGGCCATGTTTCATGGTGATTCTTGCGACACTAGACTCCCAACAGAGGTTAAGTGACCTGAACTAGGACCCGTAACCAGGGGTACCCAATTAGGATAGTCACGGATGGTCGAACTGGGGTTCTTCAACCTTTGCCGGTCTGTGGCAAGATGCCCTCCAGATGATGTCCCTGCATGCCAAGCATGTGGATGTCGGACGGGACAGACCATTTAGGATTGACGGCGACACAGACGAGGTCACAGAAGACGATGGAATCCAAGTCGCTCAAAACATGGGAACCCAACATATCACTTCAGCACCAAAAAAACATATCACAGCTAGTGCACAGTCCTCCGGGTTTTGCAGATCAGGTGGTTTGTGATTTTCCAGGTTCCTGGTAAATCCACTAACCTGGAGAATCAGTGTGTGTGTTTTTCCAGGCTTCCGAACCAGCAAATCCAAGTCCATGTTCGAGATTCCTTCGCATGTCGCGGCAAAGAGCCTCGCACCGCCAGGAAGTCCTTGGTTTCCACGCTGAGATTGGCGAACCCTTGGGAGCCTCCGGGGCCGCGCCGATCTATGCCCTTGCTGGATGTCGTCCCTTGGTCGAGGTTTATCGCGTGTTTTTTGTTCTGAAGTTTACTGTGAGGGGTCAAGATGATTTAATTTGATTTGATAAGTACCTGGACCCGGCTTCAAGCACCCCAAACAAATATATGACACATATGACCCCCCCAAACAAAATTGAACTCATGTTCGGAGGTACTTTGAGACTCCAGGTAGATGAAGCAGGGTTGATGGTAGCCTGACTTGGTGACACCCAGAGTCTAGTCGACGTCCGTAAACTCATTCTTCGAACGCATGTCACACCGAACACATGGCTGCCATGGAATCACGCCACCACAAACGACATCCGTTCGGTGCGTGCGAAGATCCAGGTAATTTCAACGCCGCGAACGACAAGCAATGTGGAGAGACGGAGCCCGTGATGCACGTGAGCTTGGATTCTTGGATCGGAAGCTACAGCAGCTTGGCTGCCAACGATCTTCTTGGAGGCTTCAACGAGCTGAGGGGGCCTTTTTCAGCGAACCCTGACATTGAGGCTATTTCATGCACTTTCGGTTCATGAAGACATTCCCCCCACAAGACTCCGACGCCCGCTCCGTAGGCTAAGACAAAACAGTGTTCGCGGTGCACTCGTGCATGGAAAGCTTGAAGAATGTCCTTTGTTCATTGATGTGTTTGGTCCTGACAGGCCCGGTGCCGTTGTAGCTGTGTTTGTGTTCCGAAGATCTAAGTCAGCTAATGCCGCAACACAACACAGCCAGAAGGTTGTCCCAGTTGTCCCAAGAAACAGACACCAGCACACACAAGCGTCTCCCTGGATCAGTTTGTTCGTCTCATTTCCAACAGAGGTTAAGTGACCTTATAGGACCCTACAGGGTACCTATAGGATAGTCGAACCAAGGTTCTTCAACCTCTGCTGGTTGTTTTGGGGTTGCCTTTTTCAAATTTATGTTGCCATTGAGTTAGCAACTCAGGGATGTTGAGAAACGACAAATCCGTGTTCTTCCGCAGAGTCCAGCCCAAGGCAGTGCCTATGAGCAAATGAAAGCGGACTATCCGGACATTGCTCCTCTAGATTTGGGTGACATGGGTTACAGTGGGGAGGAGTCCGTGTACGTGGCTTGGCAAGGGAAAGCTGGCTTGACAGACAGAATTCAGGTGCATGATACAGACAAATAATATGCCGGCAGTAGGCCCATGCCAGATCTTTTTGAGCTTCTGACAGTGGGGCAGCAAGCTACCAGGCTGGTCCGTAGCTTCAAGGCAAAATGGTGAAACAGGGGGAGTACTGAAGTTCTGGTGTTTTCCTTCCACAACTAGGGACACAATAGGGATACGTACATTGGGTCCTTGTAGGGACCGAACGCGCCAGTCCGGAGTCCGGATTCCCTCTCGTCACGTGTTCACGGAGTACAGAAGCCCTTCGAGAGCTGAAGGTGCACACCAACCTCTTGCAGGAAGCATACGAGAATGAAGGCTTAGCTCTGGAATTCTACAAAAGTTCCTGGGCAGATCTACATCGATCCTATGGCCCCCGAGGGCTGGGAGCAGATGTTCTTTTGATTTGCGTTCCTGGGGTTGCGGGGAAAAATCCCCCCACCTGGGAACTATGTGTTCTATTCTTTCCAGGCTTCCGAACCAGCAAATCCTGCCTAACTTGCGAATCACTTGGCCTGTCTGGAACCTTCCTTCCAATGCCCTTCTCAAAAAGAGTCCACTACGCCTCCGCGTTTACGGAGGTTCATGAACAATCCATTGCGGGATTGGGTGGAATATAAGAATGATTCTGTAGCACAGACAAACATAATACTTCTATTTATAACTTTTAGATATTAATCATTCAACTCTTCAACTGTACCGTCTCTTCTTGCCTTTTAGCATGGAGACAAACATTTCGAGTTGAGAGGTTTGCTCAAATCATCAAACACCGTTTTAAGTAAGCAAAGACCACTGCAGGTCTTTCAGGGCTCATGGTTTGCGTCCCTCACCAAGTGCAGTTTCCCAGTCAAAGTTATGGTTTGGTGCATTTGTTTTTTGGTGCAAGAAGCAACATGGTTATTATCATGTTACTTAATTGAAGATATCCAGAACCCTGAACACCTGTTTAAGAGGGCGATTCTACAAGTATATAACCTGTGAAGTCAGCCTTGAGCTTTACCTAGCCTAAATGAATGGATCCGATCATTCCTTCCCTAGGGATCCGATGTGTTCGACACCGTACAGACGCTTCGCCGTATGTACCGGTGCAGTGGATCCATACAGAGAAGGGTGCAGTCGATTGGTACCAGCACCCGACGACGATAAACAGGTCTCCGAACTGGCGGCTTTCGCAGACTTCAAACGTGGCAGGTGGTGACCTGTGAAGGCTTTCCGGTGCTGGTAGGGTACCCCCGGTGCATCATGGACAGTTCGACATTGGAATCTACTAGTTGCAACCCCCCTCCACCTGCTTCTTAGCGGTGGTCCTTTTCCGGGACAATCCTCGCGAGCATACAGCAGATGGACATATATACTGTGTATAATATACAGTATATATATATATATTATATATACATATACCCTAGGCTTCCAACAACCATGGCTTTTAATAGTCTTTACCGAACCACCATTGTTTTACTAAGGATTTACACTACGCAACAAGATCAACCTTTCTTTGAAAGGTCTTGTAGGGTATAGGGGTATAGGTATAACCGATACGCACTTATCAGCACGGATCGGTGTTTCACCATGTGTTCCACAAGTTCACCAGTCACATCCGCTCCACAAGTCGCCGGACAGGTGGATGCGCATGGCCAACAGTCGCCGCTTTCACGGCCCCACCTGTGCCCTCCCCCGAGCGAAGCGTCGTAATGGCCTCCAACCTAAAAGCGATGGCCTCCCCCTTCTCATGGCCTAGCGTCCTTCCACTCCAGATTCCGCAGAACCGCAGAACCGCTCTCGCTCTCTCGCTCTCTCGCACTCCGCACCGCAGGTTACAACGTCTCGCATCACCATGCCAAGCAGTACTTCTCATCGACCTCCGACATTCCTTTTGGAGCCCTATCTCGGTGCAATGCGACCGACTTCTCCAATGCCCAAAGGACCGAGACCCTGTGGGAGGCGTAGCCGGGGTACCGGTGGCAAACTTTTGGGTTCAAAGAACAACTCCAGAACCTATATAGGCCTTAAAACAACCTGCGTTGGTTGACTGCTTTAGGCACGACTTTGGGGTTTGGGGGTTGGGTGAGTTGTTGCACCACTTTTTCGGAGGAAAGAAGGTGGGGATTGGAGGTATTTGTTGCATAGATCATTAGCGTGGTGATCTTCGTGAGTGTTGGTTTGGTATATTAGGCAAATGTCATTGAAGCCAATGATTCGCACATGCAACCTGCAAGTTTTGTATGACAAGTGCACTCCGAAAAAGAGTAATATTGGTGCAATACTTTGAACGAGTCTGTTAGTGTTCATGATGATTGGTAATTTGTTTTGATTGTTTGTTTTGCTTCGTTGTTTTTTGTTTCCCAGTTCCTTGTTTGTTTGCTTGATGATTTTTGGTTTAACATTGTGTTGTTACATTTGGTATATTTATAGTTCTTAGTTTGCTGCTCTTTGTTTGAATATTCTTCATTGGTCTCCTGGCTGGTCTTGTTTTTGAAGTTTCGGATTCCTTGGCTGGGCAACGGGTTGTTGGGTGAACCTGCCGTCGTCGTGCTTTTGACGCCTAAGAATCCGAGCTCGAAGCAAACCGGACCGACTCTCCACTGAAACGCAGGGGAAAACGGGCCCGAAGCAAGTACCTTCGTTTCGAAGGTGGGACTGGGGTGGGTCTGGAGGGTCTGAGGTACGACTGGAGGTGCAGGGTATGTGTTGAAACCGGGCCCAGGAGGGGGTCTGAAATCAACACGTCGAATCCGTACCACCGGTTACCACCCCGAGAATCCATAGGGCCCCAACAGCGAGGTTTCGGAAAGAGTTGGGAGTTGGGTCTTCATGGACACCCCCCCGACCCACCTCTAGCGTTTGGGGCTATGAATAGACACAGCGCTCGTCAAAGGCCTGGTAGATACAGAACTCGTTTATAGACGCTCATAGCGTCTATAGGCCAAACGCCTGGCCCGGCTCAGTGGATCAATTTTTGCTGCTGCTGCTGCTGCTCAATTGAATGCTTGTAAAGGTTACACGCTACTCAGCAGTTGCACTGGATGAAGTCCACAAATGCTTCCCATCAACATGTAACACGTATATGTGCCTCACCCAACCGCATGGCTGTTCGGGTCTTCTTCCGGTTGTGGTTCTTATTCTTGTTACAGAAGTTACAGATGTTTTGAGACTAGGTGGTGGCTATATGGGCACCTGCACCTTGGGTTCTTGTTGCCATTTTCAACAGAGATGGCATCGAGATGTATTGTGACGTGTGGAGCAGAGCTTCCACTGGAGGATGTCGGACTTCGTGAAATATTCCTTTGACTACGATGGAGTCGATCAGCAAGGCAATGGAGACTATGTGGCAAGGTGTTCCTTGGCCGGGACGTCGCGGTGCTATTGACGGCATGGCATCATAGCACAGATCTGATGCCCGTGAACTCATGTCGGTCAACGGAATGAGAATGATCTCGAATCGAGCCACGTGCGAAATCGACCCTCCATGCACCCGTGAATCTCCATGCACCCAGACCTAGTGGCCCGGACTCGACTCATGGGCATGACCCGATAGACAGACAGTGGGGCTCCTGGTCAGACAGTCAGGTAGGAGATCATAAGATCGGATCAGTATTGTTCTTACGTAAGGCAAACGCCATCCTTCTCCAGGTCCGGATGGCCATTGGTGGCCTGCGCCTGCATGTCGCCAGAATCCGTCGGAGTGCATCCCGCTCATTACGGCGGGCCTCTTGGCTTCCTTGCGGCGTTGCCATGCCATGGAGAGTTGATGGATCAAGAGGTGTGATTGTAATGATCTCAGTTTGTACTGACAGGCTTTCTTTTTCCAACGGAAATTGTAGAGTTGTAGCTGCGTGAACCACATGCAGTTGCTTCATCCACACAGCATCAAATATGTTTTCTTGCTAGAATCGCAAGGCAACACTATGCAAGCTGTTGTCAATGGCTTCATGATTGTGATCTCCTGGCCACCTTTTAATCAGATGAACCCAGACGCGACCCTGGACCGCTTTCTCCCACCAATCCCGATCGGTTGGGGCTTCGGGACCGGGAAAGGGCGGACGCACGGAGCTTCGCGTTTGGGAAGGGAAGCAAGTCTTCCGACAGCTTGAAGACTTCCACACAGCTGGCTTCGTTGGGAAATTCGACACCTGGAAGCCAGACACGACACGTGAACCCTGCGGCGCACTCAAAACCGCCGGCGGATGCGGTCCTTGAGGAACGGGCTGGAAATTACAGGCGATCATGCAATGGGCGGTGGCGTATGGATTGCCAGCTGTTGCTTGGAGAACAAGAGAACTGCTTGGAGTTGGTGGGCGTCTCTTGAAGCAGAACAGCGTTGGCCAAGCGTGCGGGTTCTTGATTGAATCCTTTTTGCTCATTGATATGTTGCATGACACGTCGGCCCAACGGTTTTCCTCCCAAGTGGTGAAGACTCGAAGGAACGTGTTCTCTGCTTCACGTCTTCCGTTCGACCAAAACAATGGTGACCCGGTCAACTGCCGAAGCCAAACGGTCCTCCTTTCGAAGATTGGAGCGGAGCTGGGTGCGAAAAAGGAGGCGACGAGTCATACCTTTGAAGGGTACTGGAGCTCCGTGGTCTTACATATAACCATATTATGGATTATTATGGTGGTTTTGGAGGTTAAAATGATATGTAAATACGTACCATGCAGGTTTCTTTGGTCCCATGAAAAGCCGTGGGTGAGGTGGGTTCTTCGATCATGGGTAAGGCTGTGGGCATCACGGCCAGTTGGGGCGACTATGTGGCACTGCCACGGGCGCATCGAGTGCTACACTATTGGTGGGTGCCCGATTCGACCTTCATTGACGCTTGGTGATGCTTAAACATCCAACTCAAGGGTTGGAAGATTCAGTTTGGATGTGTTTGGGTGTGGTTGATCTTACAGGTTTTGTTGTGGACCTCGGATGCTCTGACCCAACGAATCGAATAGAAGATGGTGGGAACAGATCGACCACAGGTGAAAGTCTTGCCAAGTTGGTGCCTTAATTAAGTAATCCCTAGGGCTCCAAGTACCTTCTAGGAAGGTGTTTGAGGTGGGTTTGGAGGGTCCAAATATGTCCAAATACCTTCTGAGGAGGTACTTGGAGCCCTAGGGAATGTGTGGATGCAAGAAGCATTGCTTGGTTTGACTATGTTTGGCCTGCAAGCACACAAGTACACAACTTGTACCGTCTCAACCTCTCAGCCTGCAGTGGATACACGTAGATTCATTGGCCCCAGCATGAAGCCATCGGGCCATGGTGGAAGTTGCAAGCCCAATGCACAGCTGTATTCACTTCAATATGGCCTTTGCCATACGGTGACATCGTTGTTTCCGCAGCCGTTCTAAATCATGATGCTGATAACTGTAAATTGTATCATTTGCCCAGGGTTCTTCCAACAATTTGGAGACTGGAAGTGGTATTCAACCTCTTATTTTTCGTCTCCGGCACGCAAAAAACATCGCTTTGCGCCTTATATACCACCGGTGTTTGTTCCATCTCCACGCTTGGACCTCGTGCGCACCACACGCCTTCTTTCGGGCAGACCGGGTCGAGCCAACCTCGGCCCCAAGGACTTGGGACCTCAGCCCATTGGAATGCCAAGGCATTCAGCTCTGGAGCCTTGGAGTCGCCAGCGGCAGCGTGCTGTGGCGTCCCAAAACTCGGGGGGGGTTCGCCCCAGGGTTTTGCCACCAAAGTGGTGATTTGGCAGGTGATGGCAGCCGGAGCCACCTCACCTCACCCTGGTAGGTTCATTTCTCAGGTCGTCTAGTCTGTTCTAGCTCGGCACACTGTCAAGTCAGAAAAGATGGAAACTGCCGCACCTGTTACTCTCTGTCAGACCAACATGGACCCTTAAAACCACTGGTTGGTAGAGGAAAACAATCTTCCGGTCTATGTGAGTCTTGGGGAGTGTAATCTGTTCATGATCGGTGGTCGGTCCCGGTGAACACCGACAACCATGTGATCGCTGCTGCCCCCCGTGGTGCGGCTGGTCCCAGGAGTGGAGCATGGGCGACAAGAAGACCAGCGCAGTCGGAAGCTATGTAGCCAAGATGGTGAGCTTCTCGTTGGACCGTTTCTGTTTGGCGCCAGCTGGTTCGGACACAGGTGGAGTGTATGACTTATATATACCCTCATCTTCAACTAAAGTAAACTTCGGCGTGAATGCGTACTAAGTTTACTCGAGGTGATCGAGATGATTGCATTACGTAGTTGCTGGTTTTTGAACGTAGTTATGAACTCCTAGAGCAACATTTGTATCTTCTCGGATCCTAGGGTTACCAACGTATAGTTGGAAGCTCTGGGTAATATATGCATGTCAGGGCAGATTGCCTTCATGCAGCATCATGTAACAGATTTTGCCTGCCCCGAAGTCCAGTCCAAGTCTTCATCAGTCTTTGAGTCTCTTTCACCTTCTATCCATCGGAATCTTGGTTGGGGCAGGGGCGATCTATTCTACCAGGACGGCCCCTTAGGGTTGGCACAATGTGTGCCATGCCTTAGCTTCCAGCACTCTGCTAGCGCAGCTCCCTGTTGAACGGTGTTTTTCTTGCAGGGTGAACTTCCAGAACCTCGGATTCTGATCGGATTATTTGCAGATAGTTCCACAGATACCATATTCCCATACCAGGACCCACCAGGGGGTGGTCACTTCTTCTTGGGAGGTGTGCTGTTTTGGGGGTACTTTGGTAGCCTCCTGTTTGGATGGTCGAATGGAAGTGGAAGAAAACATCCATTCCATTCCAGAGAGTTCCTCTACAGTTCCAAGCGGTCGACGTACGTGGGTTGGCTATAAGACCGAGCGCGTAGGGTACACAGACGACTCTTTCCTTACGAGAGGTCACCTAGTTCACTAGGACCCTACTGAGGCATCTATGGCAGTGGCACAACACACACACTGGTTGACCCCGGGTCAAATGAACAGCTTCCTCTATGTTCGGGATGTCAAACCATGGGGACTGGTAGGGGAGGTTGAGTTCCCCAAAGCCATACCTGGATTTTCTGTGACTGCCATGTCCTTTTCATCTAAAATATCAGCCATTTGAGGTCGGAAATTGGGCACAGCTGGAAGGAAGATCCAGGATATCCCGGATGACTTCAATCGACCATTAAAGAACATGCTTGACCTGCTTGGAAGATCCACCCTGGATCATCGATCCCACGCACATGACGCACCGAACGCACCGAGGCCAAGACCTCTCCTCGAAAGCTCGGACGATCCAGGCCGATTGGTCCAGTCGTGGCCGAAAGCGTACGAGCGGAACGACGAACGCATCGGTACGAGCGGAAGACCATGGATGGCACCCCGAAAGGAAGACGACGTGGACGAAGGATGTGTTTTCTTCTTTTTTCCACGTAACCATGTGATGTGTAAAGAACGGAGTGTAGCTAAATCAGACACATCTGATATAGGTTATATATAGGTTATCTATAGATAATAGTCATAAAATGTACCGTACCAGCAAAGACAGCATAGACCCCAAGCAGTTTCAGCAGGATTCTTGTTGCACCAGCAGTTTCAGCAGCAACAAATCCAATAGGATGTGTTTGACAAGTGTTTTCACCGCTGCAATTGATGGACAGCGAAGAAAACCACACAGACAAAGGGACCAAGGCGCAACCACACACGCACACCACAAGGCCAAGTCCGTCCAGACCAGGCGGAGAAGGGCTGCTGACGCTGATGGAACAGAGCTGATGCGAAATCGGTGCACCAGTTTATGGTGGTCGAATCGGGCAATAAACGAGGGCGGCTTCTCGAATTGGGTTTGCAGAGTTTATGACAGTGTCGAGTGGAAGAAGCACAATCTTCCAGCACAATCTTCCTAGTGTTAAGGAGGTTTGTGGCATTGGAAGGTCAGTAAGGTTTCTATGGAACATTGGACTTCAGATCGTATTTTGGATGTTAAAGCCCTCCACCAAGCACGCCCTGAAAAAGGCACCCCATTCCTCGCTGTGTCACAGGAGTTTGTCTCCCAGATCACCTTTGAGCTGAAAGAGATCATGGATCTTCTTTTGGAGGTAGGGTCACCTGCGTGGAACTGAGGCCATTTCAGATCGGTGAAGAACCAGTCGGCGTGGTTTCATTGATTTCGGACCTTGATTTACTGCGGGTTTCGGGCTGGTACACGGCTCCAGAGGTGCATGACCCTGGTGGTTTCGAGGTGGTGAAGGAAGGGATCCAAGTCTTCAGAAAAAGGTCAGGACATGATGTGACCAAGTACGGGGCTTGTGTGGTTGCCAATCCTCCCTGCGCGGTGTTGGCTTCGCTTCTTGCAGTCGCATGGTTTCTGATGTTTGTGACGTTTGACGGTTCTGGAACCGCCAGGTTCAGACAGAGGGCAGCCGCTACAACGTCTCCTGCGCTTGGGCGCGTCAGAATGTAGCTCGCTGGACCGCTTGGGTGCCGGTGAGCACGAATTGCTACGAGGGCTTCGGACTGGCCGACGACCAGGGAGTCCACGTGCAAACTCGAGCCTGGGATGAGACTATGGGGTGTGGGTCAGTGGTGTGGTTTTTATGATTTCCAAGAATCTGGTTGACACGGTTGGTGGTGTGTTTTCCTATATGTTCCTCAGGGAAATTCGAGGTCTTAGATCGGGGTATTCTAATGACTCTTTTTGACATCCGCAGGCTGGGTCAATCCGCAGGACTTGCTTTGGCACTTGCGTTTGGACGTCAGACCGTGAGTCAGACCACATCGAAGGTATCGGATTCCATCAACGCATCACCACGAGTTCCTGGCGGATCTCCTCCGCACGTCCTTTGGTGCGGACCCTTCAGATCTTTGGTTCGTGGCCGCGCCGGTGGTGTAGCAGGTACTGAGCGAGTGTAGCAGGAACTGAGTGTAGCAGAGCTTTGCATGCAGGTCTGTTGCTACGTACTGCTCTACGTACTGCTCCCTACTGTCCGCTTCAGAGGGGAAATATGTGAGCGAGGACCATTAAAAAACAACAACAACAACAACAACAACAACAACAACAACAACAACAACAACAACAACAACAACAACAACAACAACTGCATGTTGACCTGTAAAAGAGGTCGTTCACTGACCTGGGATGAGATTCACTTTGCTGGCGTGTTGTGAGAAGGGTGAATGGATTCGGTTTGGCACAGATCTCGATTGTACTTCTCCCTTCGACCCCATATCTTCGCCGCCTTCAAGCTTGTTTCGGGTGTAAATTAAACCTCGATGTTTCATGTCTTTTCCTTTTGAACACCTTGGCGCATCGGGATACATACTAACTATTCCTAACTAATTGATACATCATCCCAGATGTTCATCCAAGGAGCCGCGGCGAGCGCTTGTGCCGTGTGTCCTGAAGGGACCTTCTCCGAGGAGTTCGCAGACAATACTGGGAAGCCTGGCAGGCAGGAAGCTGTTGAACAAGCACCAGGACCTTCAAAGTGAGGAGATCCCAGAGCCTCCACAGGTTATGAACAGATCACTTAGAGACGCCACACTGCAGGTCGGTCACAAACTGAAGCCCAGGGTGTGCCGGGTGAGCATGGCATAAGACCGAGTACTCCTTTCTACTCCAATTCGGTACAGTACTCTTTTGAGAAGAATCTCTCTGAGAGACCCAGTCTGCAACCACATCTGGCTCGGTCCAAAACTGCTTCCAACTACACCCTGAAAAAAAAACCATCGAACCTGAACGTGGACGTTTGGAAGACAATTTTCCTCTACAACCCAGTGGTTTTGGGGTCCATGTCAATCTTCCAGGGCGTAAGCAAAAGTTCTGCCTCACTTGGCTGCTTTTACAGATGAAAAGGCTGACACATAAATAAATCATGATACATTGAGGTTACTATGTTCATCTATTTTCAGACCCCAACATAATATACCAGGACCCGACAGCTACCTAGCCTAGGATGGCTTCCAGACAGGGCACCCCACGGTGTCGGGTCCTGGTAATAGAACTCCCCTGTCCGACGGATCTCATGACGACCAGGTCGTTACTCGTTACGTCGCCGAGGAAGACCTATCGCTGCAGCGCCTGTCCGAGTGGGACGTATCAAGACAAGGTCTTCTCCAGTTCCTCAGTGAACGTTTTGTGTTCGGTTTTCACTGCAGGTCTGTGTCTGAAATGTTTGTGTCTGAGTCGCCTGTGTTTTGCAATGTGTGCTTTTTCAGGATGAAGGACCATGCTGGTATAAATAGGTACCAGTTTGTGCACTGCGCAGGGTGCTTTGCTTGTTTTTCTCCATCAAACTGGGCCAGTGAGGTTCGTGTAAACCGTGCTCCAGGGGCACCTACAGTGACACCGTTGGCAGCAAGGAATGCAAACCTTGCCACTCGGTCACGGACCTGTGCCAACCAGTGAATTGTTCGGCAAAGGCAGCGTAAGCCAGCTGACCCTCCGTTGAGGTCCAAGCCTCATGAGTTTGCGGTGATTTGTTGATACTCCTACTTTGTGAACGAAAAACTAGGAACAAATTAGCTTTCAAATAGTTTCCGGAGAGTTCTCTTACTTCCCCTACTTTCTTCTAGAGATTTTTAAAGAGTCGGGATTGGAATTGCATCCTCCCGGTGATTGTGGTCTTCTTTGCACCTGGAACCAGCCCAGGTGATGTCGCCTTCTACCAGGGCTTGGAACAGCAGATGAGCTGCATGGCCTGTCCGGCAGATCGCACCACGCGCTTGCTGGCGGCGACCCGAGAAGAAGCAGCTTGGCACGAGATGACATGCTTGGTGGATCCAATTGATGACAGTCTGACATCAAGCATCCAACACGCTCCAACATCCTGCGCACCGTCAGAGGGTGTGATGATGAGCCACCAGTCGTTGTGGGGGGGTCGGTCATCGTTTTTGTCGGACGATTTGGGGCAGCACTCAACTTTTGGTTCACTCCATCAAGTAGAAGCCCTTCATGGATGAGAGACTGGTATTTGACTTCGAATTCGGCGTGCACTTCAATTGAAAAATACATTGAGTCGATCTCCGGTCACGAGTCGACTCAATGTGTCAAATAAAAAAGGTCAAAACCAATGACACATGGACAACGGAGTAGTCTCTGGTGTCAACGGAGACGACGACGGGAATCGATCCCAGTCAACGTAGGACGTCGAAAAGGGTGTGTGGTCTAGACGAGCCGACGAGCCGACACACAGGCTCCAGGTATGAGAGCAGTGCGCATGTAGGAGTACGCATGAGAACAAACACATGAGAGTACACGTATGAGAGGCAGCACATGTGACAGCACCAGGTGAGACACATGACAGCACATATACTGTATGAGAGCTTGAGAGCACAAACATGAAAACACACAGATCACGCATATATGAGAGCACACAAATGAGGCCTTTGAGAGCCAAGTATGAGAAAGCAAAAAATATAACATTCACACAGTGTGAGAGGACATTTGCACTTGGAGGTTCACAAAATGCTGCGTTTCGAACGAAATTTGCATACTGTAACCCTGGGGCTCGAAGTACCTCGTATTTGGACCCTCCTGGCACCCAGCCCAAACCCCTTTGAAACTTCAGGTACTTGCAGCTCACTTGGAGGCGGAATCAAGATAACCCCTCACGCAGCCCCAGATTTCACATCACCCAACTCCAGATCTTAGATACAGCGAACCGTCTCCAAAGCTGGCGCGGATCGGCACGCGAAGCCGCGCGGTGTGGCCAGAGTCCGTCGCAACCGACACAGTTCAAACTCTAAGGGACGAGCGTCCAATCGTTCGGTGTACGAATGGGTCGTCCACCAGTGAAGTTCAAAACTACTTGAAGGAGGCTAAAAGATTGGTACGTGAGAGGGAGTGCAACTCCTTTGAGCAGTTTTGAGCGGAGTGGCCACTCCTAAAAAAGCTCGGTGGAGGTCCCTACAATGTACTTTGAAGCAGATACAACGAAGCCGTAATTTGCGCGTTGTTGCGTCCCAGAAATTCCATGCTAGCCATGCGAAGGAGCGGCCACATGTCGCAGTCTGTTCACGACATTGCACACCGGGAAGATGCCGGTCAGACGACCGTTCGACCGCGCCTCCTGTGGGGTTTTTAGCAGTCGAACCGTTCGGATCTACACCTGTGCCGAACAAGTCGACTTGGGCGCTTCCCACGAAAAGCGATCACCTTACGTCCGAAAATGCGCACGGCACCACAACGAGAACATGTTGAGGAAAGCATCCGTCCGGGCGTTTGCGCGGGCCTGCGCAGTCGAAAATGCATGATCTGACCCGCACCCTCGATCAAACACAGCTTTAACACCTGCAAGAACCAAATGGACGTACACAAAGACCTCAACCAAAACAGAACAATTATTGCGGGGCTAAAATTTGCAAAATGGCATTTAGCTATTGATGGATAACCAGCTACAACCTTTCGAGGCGATTGGTGGTAAACGCGGCAAGTGCATCGCCCCCCCGAAAGCATATTGCGAAGGCCTCACATAATAAGTACAATATATGTCATAATACAAGTTACTAAGTTTAGATGAAGGCACCCTTTGTCTCAGTGTCTAAAGTACGTGCGGAGGCAGATGCGACGGTATGTTTCCAGTGTACAGGCCCTGTAGTCACCCAAAAAAGCACTGCTCATTTGAAACGTCCTGAGTCTATCGCGTCCCACCGAGGACTGCGTGTGCAAAGCCAAATTCATCGAGCGCGAAGGGCAGTGCGTCTCATGCGATGAGGAAACCTTGTGGTGCCCTGTGGGGAGCACCATCTCAAAGCTGCAAGGTGGGAGGGCCTGACATTGCAGCGCTCGGAGTGCATGAAGTGGATGATCGAGTTCCGTTCAGTTGGAAGTTAATTTCAACCTAACTAGCTGTCAATTCATTTGGAACAGCTGTTAGGAAAAGCTCCACTACCAACTTTCCCTCCCACCCATACCCACCATGCAAGATGCTACCACAGTGGATAGAGAATGCAATGGTGGAACA